CGGTTGTATCCTGGGATTCATAAATCATGATAGACCGAAGCACTTATGACCAAAGCACTTATGGCCGACATCATATCTTGCCTCCGAGATTTAAATTTATGCTTTTAAATTATGTTGTTGTAATGTGTTTATGATATCGTTCTCATTAATAAAATTCGTATTTTTCTCGATTCGATTTTTGCGCTCCTACAATCTTAATTCAATAAATCCGCTTTTCTGCTTATCGCTTTAAACGGATTGAGTATTCTTCGAAGTTTAAAAAAAAAAAACTATTTCAAAATCTTCTTATACACTGTTTATGCGGTCATCTTGCGGTGCTTACGCGGAAAGTTTATAGAAGAACGTTTAGTTTATTTACAACTTCTTTTCTAATCCCTCTAACTACTTCACAAACGCTCTTTAGCGATTGTTGTGGATAGTTCTCTAGAACGTAACCTCTTGGGTTTCCACGAACGCGCTTGTTTTGAGTGAGTTTGTGAAACGCAAGGTTCTGCAAACGTTTCCTTAGCGAGTTTGCAAAACTAATTCAGTGTAATCTAGTTACCTGAATTATTTTTGATTAATATACTAGTCAAATCTGTTTATTGTTAACAGAATGTCTGGATCCGACACCAACATTGACGGTACCAAGGCTCCTGAGACTCTGCTGACATGGCTTTCCGTCTTGCAAAAGAACTAGAAAGCACGACGCTTAGCGATTCCGATAGGGAAATCGTGCGCCAAAATCTGTTCGGTAATGAGCCAACCCAGCAAGGGATACCCTCCTCTTCATCTCAAGGGATGATGCCAGAAAAATTTGATGGCAACACTTGGTTCAAAACGTGGCAAGACAAGATGCGCTACTATTTGGCCAGCATGGACATCGATAGGTACCTTACAGAGGATCCACTAGTACGTCCGATAAACAACACATATGTGTATGTGGCTGGAAGTATCGATAACTGGCACGAAGGGGACTTTTTGTGCAAAGGTCAGATTCTGAACCGCTTGCACAATGACCTGTTCGACCTCTATAGCATGTACAAGACTTCAAAAGCACTGTAATTGGCTTTAGAGAACAAGTACAAGACTGATGAGTCTGGAATGCAGAAACTCTTAACGGGGATGTTTCTGAACTTCAAAATGGTGGACTCCAAACCTATTATAGAACAAGTGGAGGCTTTCCAACGCATCTGTCAAGAGATAGAGTTGGAAGGTATGTCGATCTGTAATGTCTACAAGACGAATAGCTTGATCGATTATGACATGTCAATTATAAAACAATGCGAAAAATGCAGAATTAGAATTTAATTCCAAACTTCATAACTAACCAAGAAAAATGTGAAGTATGCGTACAGGCCAAACTCACTAAAACTCCCTCACCTCGAGTTGAAAGAACAACCAAACCTCTAGGTTTAATTCACACAGACTTATGTGATTTAAAATATGTGCAAACTAGAGGCGGTAAGAAATACTTTGTTACCTTCATAGATGATTGCACAAGATATTGCTATGTATATCTGTTACATAGTAAAGATGAAGCACTGGAAAAATTCAAAGAGTTTACACTCTAAGTAAAAAACCAGCTGCAGAGAACTATAAAAGTAGTTCGAAGTGATAGAGGTGGAGAATATAATTAGCCGTTCAATGCATTTTGTAGAGAAAAATGCATTATACATCAAACGACAGCTCCCTACTCACTAGAATCTGACAGAGTTGCGGAAAGAAAGAATCGAACTCTGAAAGAAATGATGAATGCGCTGTTGCAGGAATCAGGGTTAGCGCAGAACATGTGGGGGGAAGCTTTGCTTACCACTAATTATATCCTCAACAGGATACCACATAAGGTGATTGGCAAGTCACCACATGAACTTTGGAAAGGATTAGTACCTTCGTACAAATACCTCAAAGTGTAGGGGTGTACCACATCCTAAAAAGGTCACAATTGGACCTAAGACCGTAGACTGTATCTTTTCAGATATGCGCACAAGAGTAGTGCTTATCGATTTCTGGTTTATAAATCAGATATTTCAGATTTTCACGTAAACACGGTTCTGGAATCAAGAAATTCATCATCTTTTGAACACATTGTTACCCTGTCGGAAAACTCAAAAACGATCTCGTGAATAGAGAGATGCAGCAACCTCAAATGCTCAGGATAGTACTTTGAGTACTATTGCTGGTGAAACAAAACCAGAACCTGAAGAAGAACCTAGACGAAGCAAAAGAGCTTGTAAAGGAAAATCTTTTAGTGCAGATTTCTTTATGGCATTTTTAGCTGAAAATGTACCAAGGACTTATTCAGAAGCCATGTCCACCGCTGATGCACCTTATTGGAGGAAGCAATCAATACTGAAATGGACTCTATCAAGCAACATCACACTTACGAGATGGCAGATCTACCCCAAGGTTCTAAACCTTTAGGGAGTAAATGGATTTTCACAATAAAATGGAATAGCAATGGTGATATTGATAGGTACAAGGCTAGACTTGTAGTGCAAGGATTTCGGCAAAAAGAAGGCTTAGATTTCTTTGATACCTATTCTCCGGTAACGAGAATAACTTCAATCAGGATGCTTATAAGCATTGCAGCCTTGCGAGATCTTGAAATTCATCAAATGGATGTAAAAACTACATTTCTCAATAAAGATTTAGAAGAAGAAATCTACATGAAACAACCAGAAGGGTTTGTTATCCCGGGAGAAGAACACAAAGTGTGTAAGCTTGTCACGTCACTATATGGGCTCAAACAGGCTCCTCAGCAGTGGCATGAGAAGTTTGACAGTGTGATGATGTCTAATGGCTTTCGCATTAATGAATGCGACAAAAGCATATACTTCAAAATTACTCCATCAGGGTACATTTTGTTCTGTTTATATGTAGATGATATGCTCATCATTGGAAGCAACAAAGACATCGTAAATCAAACGAAAAACATGGTCAAAAGAATTTTTGACATGAAAGATTTGGGTATTGCAGACGTCATTTTGGGGATAAAAATCATAAGAACTGATGAAGGCATTATCTTGTCTCAAATCCATTATGTTGAAAAGATACTTGATCGATTCAAGCATTACTCACATGGGAAGACTAAACTCCAGTGGATCTTCAACTTCACTTGACCAAAAATTCTGGTGAACATGTACAACAGGTGGAGTATGCAAGAGTAATTGGCAGTCTTATGTACTTGACAAACTGTACTAGACCAGATTTAGTGCACTCTGTAAAAGTACTTAGTCGCTACACGAGCAATCTAGGACATAAACATTGGAAATATATAACTAGATTCTTGGACTATCTACGTTATACCAAAGATCATGGCTTACACTATGGTAAAGAACCTGCAGTTTTGGAAGGATACCCTGACGCCAACTGGATCGCAGACTCCAAAAACTCAAAATCCACAAGTGGATACGTCTTTAGACTTGGATGTGATGCAGTGTCCTGGAAATTTTCCAAACAAACTCTGGCGGCTTCATCAACTATGGAATCAGAATTCATAGCTTTGGAAATAGCTGCATCAAAGGCTGAATGGCTTCGTAATTTCTTGGAAGATATCCCAATGTGGGGGAAACCTGTGCCTGCAATACGTGTACACTATGATAGCCAATCAACTATAGGCAGGGCACAGAGTACCCTATATAATGGTAAATCTCATCACATACAACGTAGACATAAAACCATTAGACAACTTATCTCAACTGGGGTAGTCACGATTGACTACATCAGGTCAGAAGACAACCTAGCGGATCCATTTACAAAAGGTTTGACACGAGATAAAGTTTCAAAATCATCAAGAGGAATGAGTTTAAAACCTACGACTTGAGAGGAGGTTTGATGGTAACCCCACCTACTTAGATTGGAGATCCCATGACGTAGGTTCAAAGGACCAACTAAATCAAGCTTAATCCACCAAAAGCACTTAGAGACAATTGTCTTATCCCAATTCCTAAAATGATGTACAGTGCTTCCTATATGTAAAGAGTATAAGCATATGCTTTTAATATTTTTAAATCTAGCTTTGTACCATACGTGAAGTACTTACAGGATACTTCTTTAAATACAAGCAGTTAGCTAATCATCTTGTGAGTGTGAAATGAGGTCGTTCCTAGGAGAATATGTGAGGCTATACTCTCCAAGTTCACTCATGATTATCCATGCAAGTTCAAGGCCACAATGAACACAATAGAGAACTTCGTTCTACGAGAAAACGAAGTTGTGTTAGACATGCTGTCTAAGTTTACATCAAACTCCGGATGGTTCAAGACATCATGTTCACCATCTGGCCGAGTAAACTCGACAGGTATTAACAATGAGTATGTTCAAAGCTGAAAAACGCCATCAACTCAGATACAGTTAGTTTTCGCATATACTCTCGAAGGTTTGTCTGTCTAGTCTAGCTAGTCGTGTCAGTCGATAGGGTTCGTTACGTCGTCATATGTTTAGACTTATTTCTATTAATGTGGGGGATTGTTGGAACTGAATTTTCAGAAATAAGTTTCTGAAAAATTGCAGGATTTTTTGCAATGACTTTCCGGTAACTTTCAGGCCGAATTCCGGCCAAATGGCTGAACATAATTGTGAGCTTGATAGTGCAATGGAAAGCTGGTAACGAGTAGTACAAAATGGTATACTCATATGTCAAAAACTGAGTTTAATTGAATGAGAAATAAGGGTGTGAAGTGAGCAATTGGGTTGATGTTTTGTGAAAAATCCCGAACCAAACTAAACCAGGCCGGGCGCAGGCTAATGGGCTTGTGGGCTTGTAGGCTCGTGGATTCTGGCATTCTTAGGGGTTTTTGGGCTTTGTTTAGGCCCAATTTGTTACTAGGCTTGGTGTGCACTCCAAGGAATATACCGAGAATATTTTGTAGAATATGCCTAGAATATTCTACAGAATATGCCAAGGATATTTTCCTGGAGCCCTATCTTCTTCTACTCGTACTACTATATAAAGAGGATGAGGCTCTCATTATTTTTCACACTCAAAAACGAAAAAGCATCTAAACTTTTCAGTTCTAAACCTCTTCTCTCTCGCTTAGTTCAAGTAAGTTCTTAATTTTATAGTTTCGAGAGTATAAAGTAGATCTAGTTCGTTTGAGTCTATTACTTGTGTGCTCGAGTAATAGTTTATAATCGGTTGTATCCTGTGATTCATAAATCGTGATAGACCGAAACACTTACGGCCGATTTATTAGATTAAGGACAAAGATATCATATCGTGCCTCCGAGATTTAAATTTATGCTTTTAAATTATGTTGTTGTAATGTGTTTATGATATCGTTCTTATTTATAAAATTCGAATTTTTCTCGATTCGATTTTTGCATCCTACAGTACTCACATTCTTATTTTGGTTCTGAAACATAAAAATAATCAATCTTTTGTGTAGTGCAAGAATGAGGATGAAGTTGTGGCTGTTATTGCACACGAGCTTGGACATTGGAAACTGAATCACACTACGTACTCGTTTATTGCAGTTCAAGTGAGTCTTCAAAACCTTTTTTATTCATATATACTCAGTTCATTTAAGTACTCATATCTTATGATGACCCTCGCTCAATGTTTTTATTCCAGATCCTTGCCTTCTTGCAATTTGGTGGATACACTCTTGTCAGAAACTCCACTTATCTCTTCGGGAGTTTTGGATTTAACACAAAGCCGGTCCTCATTGGGTTAATCATATTTCAGGTCTGTTATTTTTTTCTTTTTCTTTTGGACACTCAACTCATTAATCAAGAAAGAAAGTAACTAAAAGAATGTTCAAATTTCTTTTGTAAAATCTGTTTAAATTTCTGAATTATGTTAAATATTTTTCTTTCTTTTTTAATGTAATATAAGTAATTTAATTACTTGTTTTGTAATTTTGAATTATTTACTAATTTATTTAAATTGGATATACAATTCACAGTTGTTAGTTAATACTGTTTAAATGATTAAGTATCTATGATAGAGGTTCTCTAGTGGAAGGGTGGTTTTGTTTAAAATTGTTAATCAGTTGATTTGATTAGTTTAATTGAATTTATAATTAATTTAATTTTAAGCAATTTTTATGAGTTGCTCTAGTGGAGTTGGTCTAAGGTAGATCTCATTTTCTTGATCTTTCAAAATATTGATAACCATTAAATATTAATGGGATAGTAAACAATACATAACCACAAAAATTAAAGGATACGTGAGCTTAGCTAAATTATTCTTTTCATTCTGATCGATACAAAAAGAGGAAAAAAAAAGTGAATAACATAACCAGTGAAGACACAATATTTGAGATTGGTAGGAATCTAGACACAACCCAATTGCTTAATATACAAAAACATAACTTGAACGACTTTGTTGCAAGAATATGGTACACCAGAAAATAGAACCGGAGACAAAATTTAGCAGTCTTCAGCAGTAAAGCCCTTGCCATTTTCCTTCTCTGCCGAGTCTTTACCCTTCGTTGGCTTAAACCACAAGGCACAGATGAAATAGGCAACGAAGTTTATTCCACTAAGAATAACCAAAAGCCAATAAAAGTAGTCAAGTCGGCCGTGGTTGATGTTATCAGCCAGCCATCCTCCATCGGTAGAAGTTGAAGTGACCTTCTTGACGACTGAGACCAAGAAACTGCTGACAAAGAAGCCTAGTGATAAAGTGGTCAAGAAAAGTCCAGTGCTCATTGTTTTCATTCCCTTAGGAGATTGGGTGATGAAGAAATCAAGTTGGCCAGTGTAGATAAAGGCTTCCCCAGCTCCTACTAAGAAGAATTGTGGAACAAGTAAGAATACACTTATGGGCAATGTTTTCTGTGTACTAGATTTCGCAACCGATAAACGCTTTTGTTCAACTATAGCTGCTGCTGCCATGCCAGCGGTTGATAAGACTAATCCAATAGCTATTCTTTGTAGGCTAGAGAAACCTGAAATGTTAATATATAGTTAAGAGACATTTATACATGTAAAATTCTAAATTTATGAATGTTGTATGCATTTTATATGTTACCTGGCTTTCCTTTCCATTTCTTCCAGAAAGGCATTATGGCACGGTCGTAGACAGCTAGAGTTATGAGAATAGCCGCGACGAAAAACACAGTAAGGGAACCAGCTGGGATCTTGAAATTTCCAATGTTACGTCTCATGGTTGAAGCTTGCTCAACCGAGAATGTAATCATTTGAGCATATGTTGTCCAGAAAATGATTGTTGTTGCCCAAATAGGCAAAAGTCTAACCATCATTTTCACTTCCTCAACTTTGGTTACTGAACTTAGCTTCCAAGGGTTTGGAATTGCGACTCCATCTAGGGTTTGTTCGAAATCTCCTTCTTGAACTATGGCTGCCTTGTCCAACAAGCTACACATACAAGATTTTATAAGATAACAAATTTCACTTTGGTTTTACTTTCTTTTTGTGAAAATTGACTAGAGAGACTTACTGAAATTGATCAGTATGTTCAATCCTCACTCCCTCAGGACTATCTTCATAAAGATAAACAATACTTTGAGGCAATTCCATTTTTCTCTTTCTGAACGCAGCCGCTATAACCTGAAAGATTTGCACAACAGGACTTCCTTGGCTCTTCTTGTAACGGTAGCTTTTAGTTCCAAACAAGAAGATCCCTATAGCTATAGCCATAGACACAGTGCAGATTCCATAAGCCCAAGACCTTCCCACTTCATCTTGCATGTAAACTAAAACAGTCACAGCCATCAACGTCCCCATGCTAATGAAAAAGAAAAACCTGCATGTGCCAATACCAATTTAACTATTAATAAGGGAACATTGTATTAAAGTTATCATCATATAATGAAATACAAACTCTAAACCTAACCTGTTGAAGAAGAAAGCCATTTGAGCTTTTTCTTTAGGATCTTTATCATCAAACTGGTCAGATCCAAATCCGGAGATACTAGACTTAAGGCCACCAGTTCCAAGAGCTATAAGGTAAAGTGAAATGTAAAGAATTGTCATCTGGAAGGAAGTTGCGGGTACACAAGCTTCCCCGTGGTGGCATGTTGGTGGACGCAGCTCTGGCAACTTCGTTGCTATCGATAGCGCACCAGTTCCCTATATACAAGAATACAAGATAAACCGTCTCAATCTTTTTTAACAATTTGTTGATGTTTATAAGTGATTATATATGGTTTGATATGATGTCTTACTAGAGCTTGAATGGTTGAAAATATAGCTATAGTTTTAAAACGGCCGAGGAAGGAGTCAGCGAGAAAGCCACCGAGCAAGCAAAGGAGGAAGGAAGTGCCCATGAAGTCAGTGACAATGTTGGCTGAGGTTGAACTTGGGAGATGCATTGTCTCCATCAAATATGTTACCAAATTCACTGCTATTCCCATTGTTGATAGCCTCTCCACAACCTCAATTCCTGCAATATCAATTTACATTTTTATTCATATGCTTCCAACACTTTGTATATATGTTCTTAGTTAAGCTGGGAGCATGTCATACAAATTCAAGTAATGTTGTGTTAATCCTTTTTTCTCTTATTAAGTGGTAATGACTCGTGGCAAAATATTATAGGATTATAATGTTTTTTTTAGTTAAACCAGATAAAAGAGTTTGATTGTCTAAAGGTAGCTCAATACAAGCTGGTGACACTCAGATAATAAGCTTTAAATCATACTCCAACTATGATTTTATTTATTTTGGAAACATATCGAAATATGGATAAACATAAAGTTCATGATAAGGTATGGCTGTAATGTTGTGATCTTTTTTGTCCTACTAAATAATTAAAGAACAGTAGTAATATATTGTCTGTTTTTAAACTCAGAAAGCAACAAAAACCAAAGTTTGGATTATCCGAACTAATTATAATTAAGACAACTTGTATTTGTCTATAAGAGAATATTGAGGAACAAAACAAGTGTTTTAGAGGTCGGCGTTTTGATTTATGCTCCCTAAGTAGACACGTGAATACAGATATAAATCTATTTTCTCTCTCTAATCAATTATTTTTTTCTTCACGTATGATGAAATTTAATATAAAAAAAAAATATTTGGAACAAAAAAAAAGAATAAAAAAGAAAAATTATTATTATGATTGGATGAAACAAGATGGGGAGCCATGTGGCGTGTCCCTTTTGCTCTTTATCTTTCTATCAATCAGCGTGATTCAGTACAACGACATTTCATATTTTATATATATAAACAGACTTATTTGATATTTCAATCATTTCATGTGTGAGTGTGACTGATTTTGAAATCGAGTCTCTTTTGTTCCTCACCATGTATTCCTAAATTATACAACTTATCGAGATTGAAATGTATACGCAAGAAACTACGCACCACCCTCTTGATAAGATTAGCTAAGTATATACACATATTGTACGTATGTATTCACTAATGAAATACTTTGCGAACATGTGCACGAACATATGTATTTTCTTCATTTTAAGATTATAAAATCATGGAAATATATAGTAATAAAGCATGTTCCGAAGTGATAAACGATAATAGTTTAAAAAGAGTAAAAACTATGCAATCAAATAAACAAGAAGATGATGAAGAAGTTTGTTTTTTTTTTTGCTAGGGACATATATTGGTAATAGTATTTTTGTATATGTATATGTATCTTTGGACCATATCTAGAAATGCATATAGGTAATGTAGAGACGAAGAAGAAGAAGAAGAACACAAACCAAGAATGAGAGTTGCAGTGATCCAGCCACCGGTTTTCGATTTGTCCGCGGGCTGGCCGCTGTAATCTACTGCATCAGCCACCATCCAACTCCCTTTGCTCTCCTGAAAACCACCTTATCAATCTTCAGTAAACAAATCTTACAACCAATAGTTTACAAGTAAGAAGAAGAAGAGTATTATCCAAACCATTTTCTTTTCTTGTATATCTCCAAGTATTGCCTTGAGAAAGATTATTCTTAATTTTTGCTAAGTGTTTGGTCTTTGTTGTTAACCACAGAAGCAAATAATGATGGAGAGGAGACTCCCCTTTTATAGCCACAAAAATGAATGAAAGAGAGCTAGCACCGACCTTCCACTATATGTGATTTGAGACATATCACAAAAACGTGAAGTCTTTTAGAGATAGGTTCATCACACTTTATTTCCCAACTTTCCACCATTTCTTTACTTATATTTTGAAAATTATTTTGGCACTATTTTTTTTATTTTTTTTTTGTATTTTTTCATTTGTTGTAAATTTTATTTTCTATGATGATAACTTATTGTATTTGATCGAATTGAAAAAATACACGAAAATGAATCATAAAAACACACACTTGCATATATTGATTATATTCTCATATAAAATGTTTTGTGAGACCAAGTAAAGATTCTCTACGAGGTTCATTACTATTAGTTTTCGATTCTCCCTTTTTTACTTTTCTACTAATTATTAAACTATTGGAATACTGCACTATATATAATATTTTATTATTTTCCAAATTAAAAGAATGGTATTGAGAAAATATAGTACAAAAAATAGCAATGAAAAAATAGTGGAAAATAAAGTTACTTTAATAATTTTACAAAATTTATGATTGGTTAAGATACATGGAAACAACTCTAGCTCTTTATTTGTTTTTTTTTTAAACCCTATCAGTTGATTCTGTCAGCATTAGTAAGAGTACATCGACATGTTTACGAATAAATTTTTCTCCAAATTTTTATTATATTGTTTACTTTAAATTTGGAATACTTTCCTACTAATGTTATGGATAGCCAAATCACATATTACTGCATTAGCAGCTAAATTGCTTTGACTTAAGCCTAAACTCAGTGATTTTTGTTTACAAGCAAGCTCGAACTCTCGGGAGAGTGTTTTCTGCACATTTCATATGTTTTGGTTGGATTGTCGGAATCCTCCAGTTTGTTCAATTTATCTTGTTGGAGACAATTGTCATATTTTCTGTGGTCAGAAAACAAACGAGTGGTGTACGTTGATATAGTGGTTATATACTTACACACGTCTTCATGGTTCTTGAAAAGCAAATGTAGAGTTAGCACATGACTCCCAATACATTTTATTTTTCCAACTTTATAACTTTTTCTCCTCGTGCAAATTAAAGATATAAGACTAGTTTTAATTGCCAAGAGTAACAAATAAAAAATGACATAGTATGAGAAACATGTCCGTAAGTATTACACTATAACTCATAAGAGTAGGAACACATTTACATTATATGTTTCCCAATACATTTAAATTTTCCTACTTGTTCAAAACAAATGACTTTAATCTCATGATCTTTTTTGTCACGTGCAAAAGATTTAAGACTTTTTTCATTTGTGAAGAGTAGTACCACGTAAAAGATGACAGAGTATGAGAATCATGCATTACCCCGTGACTCCCAAGAGAGTAGGAATACATTAATTGTTTCAAGTCTTGATCATGTGTATCGAGTTTTATTTTAATTGTGTTACCGCACATACATGGTTAACCTAATGAAACGTTAAAGAAAGAAAGATGATAAAGATTAACTTTAAAAAGCTATAATATCAACTGATGATAGTCGTTACCAAATGCAATCAATGGCATGTTAGTCTTTCTTAAACACTTATACAAACTTCGAAAAAAACATAAAGCAAACATTAGGTTTAAATTTGTCTAGAGTTGCTTACATGATAAGGGATGTCAAACTAGGTCTACCCGGCTTGATTTGGATCATATCAACGGAAAATGTTTTCACAGAAATTTCTAAGGTTGATTGAAGTGTCTGACTACCGGGAAATCAGTCAGTTAACGTGTACAAAAAATAGTATGAAAAATCATGAGAAATTTTGCAAAGATGTAAGAAAATTACTTAGAAATTCTTTAAAAGACGGACTAATTGCTAATATTTGTGCCACACGAAAAAAAAATAACACTAGGACAACAATATTCACTTTGAAAATCAGATGCAAGTAAATACCATAAAAAGTATGTCAATTTCTCAAAATTTGACATTTTGCTGTCTTCAGACAAGAAAATGCCACCAAGCCAAATAAAAAGGTTTCGGACGGAACTAACATTCATATTAAAGAAGCGTTAAACGAGATGTCTTTCTGACCATTGAAAATATAGAAGCAGCTTTGACTTACAAGTGTCATCACCATAATCATCTTAATTCATAGCTTACTCTAAATGCCGAAACTAAAAGGAATCTCTCGTAACAACTAAAATTTTTTATGACATTTAATCGATAGACTTGATATATTTCACTATCATTTTGAGAAACCAAATTTATATGATAAGATTTACATACACTTATTTTATAATTTTTATAAATAACTAAATTTTATATGATAAGGGTAACACTTATTATTGCTAAAAAAAAAAAAGTGTAACACTTATTACATAACAACTATTTTTTTTTTTACGACATTTAATCGATAGACTTGACATATTTCACAATCATTTTAATAAACCAAGTTTCTATAAATAAGATTTAATTTATATACAGTTTATTTTGTAGTTTCTACTATATTTTCTATAGTTTCCGAAAATAAGATTCTTTAACATTTCTCTACGTGATGAAATTTAATTACAAAGACATTATAAATAAAGTTGTTATCTCTAATCCATTTCCATTTCTTTTTTTATTCTAAATTTCTACATTATTTTCGTATAATATATAATTTGACAACCTTGATAGTCTTGCATCCTATTACCGTCTGTGCTGTGAAAATGTCTCTGCTTTGCTCTTCATTTTTGTAGCTCTGCATGTTTCCACAAATGACAAACCAATTTGTTACGTACTTATGTCCAAGAGTTTTCTGAAACTCAAAACACGTACCTTAAATCTTACGTGCAAATTAAAGAATCAGATATTAGTAAGTCAAGAGTCTTTTACATAAATCCAAGTCAAGGAAACATTGTTAACATACAAGAAAATGTGTGTGTGTTGTGTGTAAACTCATGCAAGCTTATCCACTTTGAAATGATATAATTGCCTAGATTTCAAAAGAGTTTAAAGCTTATTAGTTTACTATATTTTAACAAATATGTCGAAAATGTAGGTTACTCATTTAGTATAAACACTATTTTAACCAAATCAAAACAATTTCTAAGTCATATTAGTAAATTTAAAAATATTGTATCTTGTTTACATCCAGCTAAAAGTTGACAGTGATTGTAGTTTACAATTTTTATTGAATAATTACTAAAAGTAGTTGACTAGATTTACGTCTCGCAATTCAATTACCAACCATCAGGAAATGATTTTCCCACCAATGGTCCAAATTCATTTCTAAAAAGAAAAAATAAACAATTGAGTGATTCATATACTATAAATTAATTATTTATTCAATATTTACAAAAAAAATCTAGTATTTCCTAAATGAGTTCTTTTTTTTAGTTATTTTCTTTAAATGAAAAATATTGATGAACTAGACATATGTCGGTTTGACAAAAGAAAAAAAATAGACATATGTCGAGATTGATAACCAATCAAAGGACTTTATAAATTTTGTATGTTGCCTATAAATCTACTGATATATATTTTAGTTAGAGAATCTCCAACCATACTTCCTTCTTAACATGAAGTTCTTATTTTTAAAATTATACAATAATGTTATTTAATTTGATGGATTGGTTAATAAGTGAAAAAAAAATCAAAATTTCTTAATCAAGGATCACAGTCAATCCATTCGTACATATCTCTTGTTTAAGACACTTTGAAAAAAGTTTTAATACTATTAAGCAACTCTCATAATTTTTATGAATAATTTTTTTTAAAAAAAAATAAAAACTTATGTTAAAAACTCCTTAATAAAGATGGTTTTCCTTTATCTCTTTTATCCAATTGTTTAATTTTTTTGTATTTACTTAGGAAGATTTGTATGGCATGCTTTCGTATTTTATAAATATATTTTTTTCGATATATTGAATTTGCGAAAACAAAAAAAAATGTCGTTATCTTTAAAATAAAATAATTATATAAAAAAAAAAGAAACTAACTCAAAATTTTTATTAAATAATTTAAATTATTTAATGGTGCATATGTAAAACTTGGGGTTGAATATTTTGGGATATGTGAGCCACAACAACAAATAAGCAAGTGCTTCTAATGCCCCACCAAATATGGTGAAGCGAAAGGCAGCCGGCCCTCTTCTTCGTTCCTCGCTTCATTTTTTCTTCTCTGTTTTGTAATTTTCTTGTTTTTCTGTAAACGCTTCATTGTGGCTACTTTTGAATCTATGGGTAGGATTTTATCGAATATTTCACTCTTTTAATATCCCTAATGGTCTCAATCGACATCATTATCCGGAATCATTATATTCCAATGCCAAATTCATACATGTATGTTTTTTTCCTTAAGACTACGAACCTATACAAGAATCCAGACTAATAGCTAGAGCATGTGGAACATCATGTATTAACGGTAACCAACATGATTAAAATATAGTTGGAGATTTAAATACTTTCCCTCAACATTATTCCCTTAATTAAATAAGCAAAATGAGAAATTTACATCTTTTTGTATAGAAATTACATCTCATATCAAGAATTTATTAATTTTTTTTTCATATATTTATTCATGTTGTGGTTTAATTATATTTAATCTGATTATTTTCTTATACTGAAGTATTAAAATTTTCAAAACTATTAAATAAAAAGCTTTGTATTCTCAAAATAATTATTAATTTATTTTTAATGTTAATTTTTGTCTCTCTTGCTTGATATTTGTTTACATTTAAGTTTATGCCTCTTGTTCCCGACCATAGTAAGAACTTGAAGATGACATATTGATGACCGACGGACTTGCTTTGCGGTGGCTGCGACATGTAAGTACCTCGACATAGAAGATGCTGTCCATAGGTGGTGCGTAGTTTTTGGCTTAGTTGTTCACCAAATATAACTTATTTCCTAACATACTCTCATGAGATAACTTAGTTTTTATTCGTCTCTTTTTGTCATCCAGATTTCTATCTTTAAATCTCAAGAGTCTTAGCTTCGTTTTGTGTTTAAGTAAAACTAAAATTATTATTACCAA